GGGAAAGAGAAAAAGGTTTTGAGCAGGTTTTTCTACTGCTTAGCAAAGCCACGTGCCTGCCAACCACTCCTGACAGATAAAAAATACCTTGAGATAGCGTTATCTACCTATTAGCGTTATCTATCTATCTATTAGTGTTATCTTTGAGTATGGAAATGCTAAATCACTCTAATGTGTAGTTTCTGGTCTTGAGAGGACCACCTAGCATTTCTGTAGGTTTGGAGACAGTTGCTGTTGATTGCGTTGGCATGCTGAGCAGTATTTGTTATCTGCCCATAAGCATTTATGGATGCCAAGAGTTAGGAAAACTAATTCCAGTACTTAAAAATGAAAAGAGCTGACGCAAACTGTTTAGTCTTGATCTGTTATGATTTTGCCATTTATGATCTGTTTGAAGACATCAGTATCATTTGGGCTCAATGCTTAGCCTACAGGAAGACAAAGGTGAATGTGGACTAACATCTCATGAGACCATATGAACCTTCTCCACCTCCAGTCTCTCCTTTGCTGTTGAGCACAGCTGCCTCCCATGGGGATCGTGGAAGAGCTGCTGACCTGTTTGTTTTCCTTGTGGTTTAGATAATTGCGAAGAGGGGGAGCGATTACATCTTGAAACATGCCCCAGAGATGCACCGAGAACAGCAAGGGCTGAGTGCTAAGGAAGCAGTGCTGAAGTTCATTAAGGAGTCCTGCCTGCTGGAAGATGTGCCCGTCCACTTCTACAGGCTGCAGAAGGTTAAACCAAGAGCTTCTTATTTTGAATGCCTCTCATTGTTAATTGGTTGCACCACTGCATTTTTCACTTTCTGTTTAGCTGAGGGACAGTTGCCTCTGATTCAGTGGGGCCAAATCAGCCTAAAATGTTCAGCCCGTGAGGCCCATCCCCACAAACAAGTGTTGCCACTATACAGATACAGCTGGAATCAAGATTTCTTCTTCAGCGAAGAAACTGGCCACAAGAATGGCAAAACTGAATTTTTGTCCCTGCCTGCCAGTAGACTTGCACCAAGGAACTTACTGAGAAGCTGTTGTTTTTTTCTTGTTGCAGTCCATTGAAATGATGATAAGAGGTCAGCCAGCTTTCACACAAATGCCATGTAATAACTTCAGGTGACACTGAGTCATCCCAACTTTCTTAACCTCTTCCTCCCTGTCAGTGGTTGGTGCTTTTTTCAGCTGTATGGCAGGTTTTGTATTCCTGGATTGTTGCTTGGCACCAGGTCTTAGACTCCTTACCTGAGTCTGCTTAAATAGAATGTGCTTCATTTTCACATACTGAGAGAATTTAGGTCTAGAAATAGGACTGAAGAGAAGTTTTTGTTTCCACTTAGGTAAGTGAAACCTGCTCATGCAATTAGGAATGGCTTGGACCTTTTTTCCAAGTAGATACTCCATTTTCTCAGACTCATAAGTAAACTTCTTGGTTGGTTGTGCTCAGTGGGAATTATGTCTGAGAGGTATTTGTGTCCTTTGACCAGATCTAGCAGCTCTAGTTGCTGGAGAAACACGCATATTCTGAAGGAAGTAAGTTCCAGTTTGGTCTGTAGTCTAGGCTTAGTTTCAGTTCCTCACAAACTCTAGATGCTCCCCCTGCCTATCCCCTGTCCTCTCTGTTTTGATTCTAATGCTGTTAATGATGCAGTTACAAGAGGGTTGGTTACCTGAAAGCACCAGAGCTGTGAAATTGATTGCACTTACTATCAGAATTCCTATCTGACTTGAACTTACGTTTTATGCATTGCTAACCTCTTCATGTGTTGTTTGATCCACAGTGTGCTATTTCTGCTGTGTGACATAGTTATCTCATCATGTGATGAGATGTCCTCCTCCTAGGTGACACCTGGGTCATAAAGCTCTCAATCGAGCACGCAGGGGTGCCAGGGGAAGGTGTCAGTGTACTGGCTGCCCTGAGATTTCAAAAGTTGTCACTTTTGTCTCACACCCTCCTCATGGCTGCTACTGAGATTGGGAACTCCAACATAAAACATAGCACTGAGCCTTGTATCTCTCCTCAAGACCAATACTGATTTACAAAGCTTTTTGTCCTTAGGAGGCAAAAAGCATTTCTTAGTGACTTGAAACTGGAGTTGTGGATGGTATCAGGGACAAAGGGTGAGGTAATGTGATGGCATAAGGCTTGCTTCTGGACAAGACACATGAGGAGATAAAGTTTTGATGCAAAGTTTGAGCTCTGTGAGCCCACAAATTTTTACCCCAAAATTTTCTTACCCCTGCTTCTCCTGGCGAGAATAGTATCTGTTCCCCTTCCTAACTCTGCCATGCCAGGAGAGACTGAAAAAACTAGTTAATGAAATTTTTTGGTCTTGATAGGAGTGCCATGGCAAGGAGATGGGGAGAGGGGTCCCTTCTGTTTCTGGCTGTCATCTGGAGATTGAGAGTGGTGCATGTTCATGGGGACAGCAGAGACAGCACATGGGCAGTATGAGAGGTTTCAAGGTATCCTTGAGAGCTGTAATTGTCCATACCCTCAAATCATTAAAGCTAGAGGATTCCCTGTCCAGTGCAGCTAGGGTGTTTGCTAGTGAAATGCCTGAGATTCACAGTAAGAGGGGATTTGGGGGATAGATATTTCAGGGGTCAACAAGGCAAGGTGCACTTTACAAACACAATAAAAACCAAATGAGCTGATGGCATCTGCCTGATGAGTAGTCCTGCTACCTCTTGTGCAGTAGGTGCCAGAACAAGAGTGTGGTCTTTGTAGATTAACCTTTGACTCCTGGCTCTTCTGTTCTTTTAGGATAAGAAGGAGGATCGCCCGACAGTTATCCTGGGCCTGACCCTAAGAGGAATGCACATCTATCAGGTAACAGACTGCCGTGAAAGCCTTCTGGTGTAGCATTAACTCTGCCCAGCTCCCCTGTCCTCCCCCTAGAGCTCCTCTTCCTCCCCTTTGAGCGCCAGGCTCCGCATATCTCAAATTCTTGGTTGTTTGCAAATTCTTTGCACATCGCTGACTCCACCCTGTACCTGCCAGTCCCTGTGTCACTCCAAGTTTGATGTGTTGCAGGAGGTGAATCACGTTCGCCAGCTCCTCTACGACTTTCCCTGGTCACACATCGGGAAGCTGGCTTTTATGGTGAGTATGACAGAACGGACAGAGCCCATCTGGCAGTGAGCTGTCAACGTGGGGCCTGGCAAAGCCGTCGGCCTGCCCGCGCTGCCATGTCAAGTCCTGTCACTCGACCGCAGCTCTCTCTAGTAGCTGTGTGGCTGAAAACATGCTCTTGCTCGTTTCAGTGGCATCTCTCCTCTTTACGCAGGGGAAGAAATTTGAGATCCAGCCAGATGGTTTGCCTTCTGCACGGAAACTGGTTTACTACACGGGTTGCCCCTTCAGGTCACGGCACTTGCTGCAGCTCCTCAGCAACAGCCACCGGCTCTTTCTGAATATCCAGCCAGTGTTGAAGCAAATCCAAAAACTGGAGGAGGCTGAAGGTGTGTGATGGAAGAGCAGGGGACTGTGATATGGGGAAGAGTACAGCATGTTAAGGCTTTGCTGTTGCTTCACAGTGTCTGCTTTCTATCTAATTAAAGGTGTTTCTGCCTTATCAGGAAGCCAGTGAGAGAAACAGAGGTGTTAAATATGTTTCAAGTCCACTACTGGGAAGTGTTTATGGCTCCCACATTGCTAGACTGATCAGAAATCCTGTGTGTGAGAGCAGTAGAAAGGGAGTATCTCCTTTTATCTAAGAGGAGATCCTTGCTCTGTGCTCCCAGTTTAAGCGCATTTGACACGTGCTTCTCGGTGGAAGTAATTTTTACTAAAAAGCTTTCCATGGGGTTAAGATCTTCTTGTTTTCAAGCAGCAGTACAAATTGTGAGCTAGTGTCTTAATTTTTTTGTGTCCTTTCCTAAACACTAAACATAATTTAATCTATACTGATTGACAGTTAAGAGCTAGGAGTTGGAGGTGCTAGAAACAGGTTGAAAGCAGATCAGGACCCCAAGAACTTATCTTTTCTGATGGGTTCCCCTCTCTTGACAGTCCCTGTTATGCTTCCAGGAAAATTTTAGTCATTTTGTCACTTCTCATCATGCCCCCTTCTGTTTTCTAGCTCTGCAAGCTGGGTCTCCTACAACTTCTTAGCCCCAGTGGCTGTTTTTAATGCATTGCATACGTCCTTTTTCAGAGGATGGTGTCTTCTTTCCTCTAGCCTTCTCCTATATGCTGTTTTTTTTCTCCTCCCCTGCTGCTTCCCCGACTGCTGTTCTCTGCATTCTCCATTTGCACTTTCTCTGTCTTCTCTGGGGTTTGTAAGTGTCATATTGTTACCTTCAAGTAGAATTCAGTAGAATTCTGAATTCAGTAGGTCAGTAGAATTCAGCCAGCAGTAGCTGGCCCTCTTGTCTGAGGATACAGGCTGACTCCTTCCAGGGAGAAGTTGGGAAGAAATTTGTCTCTGGTTATTGCTCATCTCAACTAACTCTAAGGAGCTCTCTGAAGTGTTGATCACCAGTTGTGAGGAATGGGTGTACAGGGCAAGGCAGCCCTCAATGTCATCTAGCTTGGTTATTTCTGCCTTTCCCTCCAGTGGGGTAATAGAACTGGTCTTGCATTGGCATCTGTCAGTCACCTGTAGAAAGGCTTGCTAGGCAATTGCACGTGGGCAAAAGGCTTGTTTTGTGTCTCCTAGTGTCATGGATTTGTTGACCATCATCAGGACACCTTTCTTTAGGTAACAGATACAAACCATTGGACAAATAATAAATCATTAATAAATGCCTGCCTGTTCTTAATTGTCTCCACACATTGGTGACTATTTCAAGAAACAATCAATACGCTTTTTTTTAGCAACTGAGCACTTATGTTAGCAGAGTAATTCCTTTTTTTAAAAAAAATCTTAATTCTGGAAGCTACTGTTTTCTGTATCATAACTGCCTGTACCTGCATGTTCTAATACAGGAGATGCTGGATTTACTGCAAGTATGACTGATTGTTTTACAACCAACTGTGCATCCCAGTATCTGTTGAGCAAACAAAATAAAAAAACTGTCCTGTATTTGTTCAGTAACTGCAGCGGTTGTTTCTTAGTTGTCAGACTGCGGCAGTCCCAGAACTTACTGATTATTTTTGCTACCCTTCCTTTGCTCTTGCTTAAAGTTCCCACTGGTTTCTCTCTTCTCTTCCTTCCTCAGAGAAGAAGCGCTACCGGGAGTCCTACATCAGCGACACCCTGGAGATGGACCTGGACCCGTGCGACAAGAACTCACACGGCAGTGGGAGCAGCGGGGGCAGCCGGCGGGACAACCGTCTCTCGCGCCAGTCCACGGGGAGTCACGGCAGCTCCCACACCTCGGGCATCGAGGCTGACTCCAGGCATCGGGTGTCAGTGGAAATGTCAGTGGATGAGCCCTTCAGCATGGACCGGGTGCATCGGAAAGAGAAATCCTGCAGCTCAACCATCAGCTACGGTAGCTCTGGCATTGACAGCAGCAGCAAAGGGCGGGCTGAAGACGACTCTCAGGATGATGGTAAAGAATTTGGAGATGCAGAGCAATTTCTAAGCACACTCTTGTCTTCCCCTGCAGGAATAATGGGGAGTAAGAGAACATGAAGCAACTTGGAGCAGAAGTGTAATGCTAACCCTTCTGCCACTCTCTTCCTCCTAGAGCTTGAGCTGGCAGTAGATGAGCCAGAGGAGGTGCCTGTAGATGAGCCTTTAGAGGGAGAACAGTTAGAGGAGGCCACTGTGGGAGAATCTGTTGAATCTCTTCCTCTAGATGCTGCTAGCTGCCAAGGTGAGATGGCTTTCTGCTACTGCTCAATGCTTTTATTTAGGCTCTAGCAACAGGCGTAATCTGAAGGGTCTAACAAAGTTTTACCTTCTTCCAAACAACTGCCAGTGGTACTTGTACTGCACTACTGCAACAGCATTTAAAGTCAGCTCATCTAGAGGTGCAAGGCAAGCAGCCTATATTGTACAGTGCTGCTCTCCTCTGTGATTCTCAGGGTTTCCCTTCACAAAATTGGCGAAGTTTGTAGTGATGGAATTTGCTTTAAAATCTTGTATACCATTAAACAGCCAAGGAGTTCAACCACAGGCTCATGGGCTAATTGCAGGAATTAAGAGGTAAAGTTTTGTAGCTTGTGATACAGGGAATGCAAGACAGTGGGGTCACACAGGAGCTCTCTTGCCTCCTACAGACTTTACAGCAAAGCAAGACAGGTGAACATGGGACAAGTTGGTGAGAAGCTGTTTTCTTGAGTTTTTAAACAATGACCCTTAGGGGCAGAAAGGAGTACTTGTGAGCAAAACTCACAAAGCATTGAGGGTACTTACCGATGTATATTTATATATAGGATAGCACTGCTTAAATGAGGCCTGTGAGAACCACTGCCCTTTTCCACAGCCCACAAAAGCTCAAACATACTATGATTCTCACTTCCATTTTTTCCTTTGCAGCTATAAATCAGGAATCGCTGTCTGTGGTGCAGGTCACACTAATAAAAATGAGAGGCCAAAGTGTGGAAACCCTTCACCAGGTAAGAGGGGGTGCTCAGCAGGAGAATCTGTAAGTGGGCATTGAACCAAGGTCTAGCATAATGGAGACAGCTGTAAATCAGGTGAACTTGACTGGTCTGATTTTGACTGATTTTAAATGGTGTAACAAAAACCAGATGTAGCTGTTGCCCAGCTACTGCCATCAGGAATAGGATGAGAGCAGTGTTTGGGTCCAGAATAGTATAGAGAGGTTTGGAGCGATTAGCAGGGAAATCTTGCAAGCCAGCTATCATCTGCCTTAGGCTTCCAGATGGGAAAAGAAAAATAAACCATTTCCAAATATTCAGTGCAATGTAGAGCCAAGACTGTCTATGCAGTTTGGATGTGGGTTGCAAACTTGATCATCTTTCTGCTCCTTAAGCCAGAAGGAGCTCAAATCAGAGCAAAACCAGATGCTCAAGCTCTAATTACTATCATTTTGTGTGATTATACTACATGTGTGCTGAAGTCTTTGTCGTCAACATTTTCCTTTCATCAAACCCTTGAGAAAAGGCAACTATATATGGTAAAATATGTCATATCATAAGTTGTTCTTGGAAGAAGCTTATTAAAATGTCTTTTTAAGGCAAAACAATATTTCTTTTCAAAGTATAGCTGTACCCACTGGAGTAGAAATGTTGTGTGGGTTGTTTGTTTTTTTTTTAAAAACACACATCTCCACCATTTCTTCTCTCTCTGAATCCAAATTAGCCTTATCTGCTAAAATAACTTTAAAAATCTGTTCATTGCCTTCCCCTTTACTCCCTGAACTTTTCTGAACAAGGATTCAGTTGCTTCTTAGGACTGTTTTTCTCTTTTCATGCTTTTTCCTGGACCCAGTCAAAAGTCATAAGAAATTTTCACTTACCAGAAAAATAGTCATAAAGTGCTATAGGTGATTTAAATCTGTTATATTTTTCCAAAGCTGAAGATGGTACAGTACAAATAATAATGAAGTTACTCCTGTATTTGAGTGGAATGACTTAAGAGTGCAAGGCAGGAAGTGGGCATCTTGCTTCAAGTAATGTTTTTAACATTAAAGCTTTTACCAACACATGCTTATGCTATTAATTGATTGGGAGGCATCTGTTATAAAAATGTTTCTAATCAACACAGGACTGTCTAAACAATTGCTAAGACCTGGTGCCACTTCTATGCATCAAATACTTGGTGCATCTTTAAAAAAAAAACAACAAACCTACCTCACAAGGCCATCTAACTAAATGCAGCAGGACATAGCATTGACCAGACCATACAGCATCTGCCTGCTTCTGGGAGTGCAGCTGAGACAGTGCAGAGTTTCCTCAGGCTAGCTTTTTTTAATTCCCATGCTGTGGAGGTGAGCACAGTGAACTTGGGAGGAAGTTTTCTGTGTTGCCAAAAGAATTGTCTTGGTTTAAAAATGGTATTCCTGAAATCAGCCTTAATATTAGCATTTAAAGCTGATTATGAGGAGACAGAGCAAGAAAAAACAGGTGTGGAAGTTGGAAATTATCAGTAATTCCTCTACAGAGGCTGAGTCACTTCAGCTTGTGTAGCAAGATGCTGCCTCTGGGAATCACTACTGGTTTGTCACTCCCATTTTCCTCGTTGCTGAACAATATTATCTAGATGAAACTGTATGTTGCACTTAGAGAATTTTGGACACCGTAACCCATTTGTTTGCATGGTTGCCTTCTCAACCTCCCTTTCAGATCATTAGGCTTTAACCAACTCAGTGTGTTCAAGCAGCTGGGGAGCTGGTAATATTTTGTTACGTACACTTCATCTATTTGAGGATGACTGCAAGAATGTGCCAAGAAGTGTCAGGTCATTCAGGTGTCAATACCTGTCAGATGTTTCATCCATTGTACTGGACACTGAGAACACAGTGCAGACACAGCAGGATTTGGCTGAACATGGCAGGGCACCTTAATGCACTTGTAACTTGTTAATAGTTCACAGCTTCTTCATTAAGCTTCTTCAGAAGGGCAGTGGTGCTGGTTTGAAGGAGGGGAAGATTTTTGGAAAACTTGTATCATGCATACCCAGCATCCTTAGGCTGTGTCTGAGCTCATCATTTTAATTTGTCTATCTTACTGAACTGGCAGGTCAGATCACCCAAAAGCAGGAGCTGCACAGACCAGCACAGCCAGAGTTTGGATGACATCCGCCTTTACAAGCACAGGCACCCGCCACTGAGTGCCACGCTGTCTTCAGACACATCCCACAGCTACACATTTGGCTGCAGCCTGGAGGATAAGCTGTCTATCTATGGCTGCGTTTATTCCACAGCAGACTGCAAAACCAAGTCTGCCCTTTATGGGAAGCGATCCATGAACTGCCTCTCCTTGGATCTTCTGGGAGAGGACCAGCTCCCAGAGGAGTTTGTGGTGTAATGAGATTGGAGCCCTTCCATCCCAGGAAATGGCTCATCATGGAAATATATACCTCATTAACACATGTGATGTCACTCTGGTTCTTGCAGGAGACTGTGAGCAACTTTGTAATTCAGCTCCATAATCAGTAAGTGGCATCACTTCTGCAGACCTGACGTACAGGGCAAATCAACTGGAGTGTAGCACTTAACATTGACATTTGAAGTGTATTGTCTGAGCAGAAAATGGAAGTGGCCTGCACCATTAGCAGTGTCACAACCAACATAAAAACCAAAAACAGTGGACCAAAACTGATGCTGTAAAGCAAACACTGTGTCTAAATTGATTTATCAGAAAGCAATTTAAAGTCTATGTCAGTTTATCTTTCTGCCTTTCTCTTGTAGTCCATTTATGTTAATGCTAGTGTACAGATAGTTCGGTTGTCTTGAGTTGGTGCTGCTGCAACACTGCCGACAGCTGTCAGGTCAGGATATATTCTAAGCACATTTAGAGGGCTGTGTATGGAAGTGTCTAACCTGTTCCTGTTGTAATGAACACAAGTTGCCTATTTGCTTTACTGGGAGCAAGACTTGCTCTGCCAGGAGTTTTGTTTTGTTTTGGTTTTGTTATTGCTGTTTTGTTTTGTTGTAAGCATCCAGCCAAATATGATGTGCATTTTATGTTGTTTTTTTTCTTCATTGCAACAAGTGGAACTGTCTCTTAGTTGCCTTCTACTGCCATGATGCAGACTGGTAAATAAATGCTTATAGCCTTGGAGAGACAGAGGAGAGGAAACACAAATGACTTGGCTACTTCTGAGAGTACAGAAGACAAGTTAAGAGCATTAATTGACTGGCTCATGAAGACAGGAGTGTGATTGGATAATTTGTCCAGGCATGATCACCGCTTACTTTGAGTCATACTTTTATGTTCTTCTTTCCTTTGTTTTTAATAAATCCGTTCCTTAGAATTTTTTTCCTTTTGCTTAGGAGTCAAGTATGGATTGGAGAAAGTTGCTTTGGAAGGACAGACATGACTGTGTCCAACTTAATCAAGAATAGGTCATGCAAATGTGAGTGTGTAGTGCTGCAGGGCTGGTGATAGTGGAAGAATAGGGTGTTTGTGTGCCAAACCAAGGGTACTTGTTTGGTGATTTTGAGTGGTGGAGCTGGCTGTGATGGCTTTCACTAGGAAAATAATTATAATTATGCTGTTTGATTCAAGCATTTGGTGTGGAAAGCATCCTTCTACTTGTTACATCCAAATAAATGTATGTATGTTTGTTTGATTGCCTGTCTTCCCCCGTACCTCCTTCCTTCACCAGCATTTGGGAAGCTTGTACTTACAGGCACATGTAACCTGTGCTCATCTTTTGATAACCTTGCAAGGGGAAGCTAATAATTTTTTTCTTAACTCTAGAAGCAGATTGATGCTATTGGGCTGGTTAAGGAAGTGCGTGTTGTGCAGCGTGATCGCTTAAAAGTTGGAGATAGATGAATTCAGGAAGGAAGGAAGCCAGACCATGATGAGGAGGGTTTGAGCTGTTGCTTTGATGGGGGGCTTGCAGCCTCATTAGTTTCCTAGTAAACTGTTAAAACAGCAAATCCGTGAAGTCTGTCATCTCACTATTTCTATGCAGGTGAGTGTGGTGTAGAGATGGAGCATGAAGGTAGGTGCAGCTGCCCTTACTGAAGTAGCATCAGTGGCCGTACATGCTCTGAGATTAATCCAGCACAAAACTTTAGCCGTGTGTTTGAGGAATGAATGATGGGCACAAGCTCACTGTAGCCATGACTCAGCTGACCATGCCCTCTTTGATCACACTGTTCTTTCTTTTTGTAATGAACAATTAGAAGCTGTGTGTTCACCATAGTGTGTCTTCCTTTCTTCCAGTCAAAGCCAAAAGGCCTTTACAGAGTGCTTGAGGTATGTTTACTGTATCCAACTCTCCTGAGTGGATCTAAATGGGTAAAGGACACCTGGCTGCTCATAAACAGTCCAGTCAAGCCTCCTGCTGTTGGTCGCTCCCTGGTACCTGGGGCATGTTTGGCCATAAGCTGTGGGAGACAGGCAAGGCCAGGATCCAGGAGGCCAGTGGCAGTGCTGCAGGGAGCAGACTCATTTTCTCAGCTGCCATGGAGCTGGAGGGGTGGCTCTTTCTGCAGCAATGCCTGTCTCTATGGAAGAGACAAGGGAAAGGGGGGTCTGGAGTGACAGCTAAACAGTTGCCCTCCCACCTATGCAGATGTACAGTTACTCATAGTTCTGGCAATGGTTGTTAACAGGAAAAAAGCTCAAAATTCCGTGGTTATAGTAGTTTGGAAAAGTGTCATAAAAGATGTGAGTGCCCTGTGCTCACATCCACTCACACTTGTCTCAAAGACAAATCACCTTCATACCTGCCTCAGCCTAACCACCTCACTGAAGTGTTTATTGCCACCACGCAGCTTGGTATTTTCTTTTTGCAGTTACTTTGGATTTGGTGAAATGACATCATCCTGCTTTTGCTGGTTACAAAATACACCAATGCCTGAAAACATTTGGCTCTTGTGTGAGCATCCACTGCCTTGTATGTACATGGGGGTTTCTTGTATTTATTCATGCCTGGTGGGGGAGGCAAGCTCTCCAGGTCTTACCATCTTCTCTCAGTGGTCTACGCAGCTCCCTCCAGTACTGTAAATGACATATGCATCTGAAGGGGAGACTGGACAATTTTTGTGTGTTGACTGAATATGAATTAATATCTTAAAAGCACTGTGAATATCTATTATGCAAGTTTTTTTATTCATATGAAAAAAACCCAAACCTGTTCCTGCTATTAATAGATCTATTTTTTGTTTGTTTGTTTGTCTTTGGATTTAGAAGGTCTCTTATTATTTTTGGGTTTTATTAGTTTGGTAGAGGGTAAGCATTTATTCACTGATGTTAGAAACTAGCTGCCAATATTTGTACATATTTGTAAAATACTCATGGTATAATCGCTCTGTTTTAATGCTAAAAGTTTCTCCTTTCCATGAAAGGAATTTCTTGTTTAAAATAAAATATAAATAATTATATGTACACCTGCAATAAAGTATGGATAGGAAAAGGTAATTGTGTATTTTTTTTTCCTCCAAGAGGTGCATGTCAGTGACATCTTCCATTTGAGATAGGCAGGTTGTAGAAATGACCTTGCTGCCAAACTGTAACCCGTAAGAGCTCAGCTTGTGATGGCAAACTCAGAGGAACTGTAGTCACTGCAGCAACTCCTTTTCTTCCCTGCCACTCTCTGTAGCATGATGCCAAAGGGGCCTCTGACAGGCATTGAGGACCCAGTCAAGCAGGTTGGAGTCAGTGAGAACAGTAATGGCAGATGAATCCAACTGCAGAGACAAGTTAAGCTGCTTGTGGTGGTTAGTCAAGAAAACTGAGCGTGCGAATTCCCAAGGGTGTAGAGAGATCCTGTCAGCATCCTCCCAGGGGCTGCATCTGAGGATGGGCACACCAGCCCACGTGATGTGAAGTGCTGCTGGAGAGCGCTCTGCCCTAAGTCACCAAACCTGCTGGCCTGGAGTCTGGAGTTTTGCTTTTCTTGGGACACGAGTCTACAAAGGAGTGTCATAGTATTAACTATTCACATATCTTCTTGAGGAAACTTGCTGTCTGGTTGGGTTTTTTCCTTCCCTTTTTGCTGGATATGTTATAGACCCCTAAGGCTAGCATTAAATGTAGTGTTGCTCCTTTTCTTACAACTTCCCCTCTTGTGCTTTTAATCTCTGTCCAATACCTGCTGTGTTTCTAGTATATAAATTTTCAAGGATTTTAGAGATACATCTAGCTTTGCTTCGGGGTTGCTAAGGAGGTGAAATTAAATAACAAGCAAACATTGAAGTCACCTGAATCTGAAGGGCTCTGTCACTTTGCTTTCTTTCATCGCTTGGCAAGTAATGGCACCTTCTTGCCTGCTCGGGTGGGCTGCTGGTGACCAGCATGTATATAGGATGAGTTCGTCCCCTTCTGAGGAGGGCACTGCTCATGGTGCCAGCAAATGCTGTGTGGGTTCAGTGAAGTAACACAGTGTGAGGTGGGGGGAATGTTGCTGTGTGGAGGCAGCGCAGCAGGAGCTGCATGGAGGCCGTGTCTGAAGGTGTGTGGTAAAGCAGATGCTCAAAACAACCCAGGTATTTTGGGGGAAGCGAGAACAGTTCCTGAGTGGATTTCTTGGCAGCAAGGTGTGAGACACCAACGGATGACACGGAGTTTTAAAAGCCTGAAAAATGTTGGGCAACAATCAGTCATGAAGCTCAACAGCAAGCTCCCTGATGTAGCTCCCTGCCCATCTGCAACGGGGCACCCGCTGTCTGGGTGGGGTTTCTCCCGCAGTTTGTGCGGACTTGCCCTGGAAGCTTCCTCGTCCTGGGCTCCTGAGCCTCCGCCGCTGCCCGCACCCGCAGCCCTGCCCTGGGGCATCTCGCAGGCCGCGGGCGCCCGGGGACAGCCCCGCGTCTCCTGCAGCCCGGGCTGCGGGGACACGAAGGGAGCGAACACGTCCCTCCGAGGCCGCTCCCAGCAGCGGGGGAGCTGAGGCTCGGAAAGGCGCCCGTGCGGCTGTTCCCGGAGGAGCCCGAACAGCCGGGGCTGGCAGGGAACACCCGGGAGGCCGCCCCGCTGCCTGTCCCG